TTTTGTTTGCCAATGACCTTCTTATTATCTTGGGCCAAAACAATTCTGCGCAATTCCTGGTCCTAACTCTTAACCGTAGTATCTGAGTCAACACTCAACAAAGGAAGAGCTCTTTTCCTTCCTGGGACCAGATTCTATGTACTTGATTAGCCAACAGACTCTTTCATTCCTGGGTGAGATATCCATCTCTGATCCAGTCAACTGGGGCCTGGGGTTAGAAAAGAATCTGATTGCTTGGCAGGGGGTGTGGGCAAGTGAGATAGTGATTCACAACTTGAATATAAAGACTGTGTGATATGTTTCAGGATTCTGAATCATCACCATTTCCTTCCCCCCCCCCACAGAGTTTTGTTCCATATACCATAGTTAACTGAGTACAATGCCCATTAGTATATTCTAGAAGGAAATTTCCAACAAGAGTGAAAAGATAGGAAATACCATTTTTACTGGTTCCACTTTGACTTGACTGCTTCTTCTCAATAATTTTTGTGATGAGCTCAAATTTTCTTTTTTCTCTTTCTAATCACCTCTGGGGCAGGGATCGAACTCATGCGGAAGTGGCTTTAGCTTCTTAGTGCTGTGCTTTAACCCACTGCGCCACCAGGGAGGGCTCTGCATTTAGAACTTTTTTTTTTTAAAGATTTATTTATTTATACATACAGAACTGGGGTACCAGGCCAGAGGTGCAGGGGTGATGAGAAAGAGAAAAAAGAAAATTTGAGCTCATCACAAAAATTATTCTTCTATTATTATTATCCTTCTATTCCTGTCTTCTCCCACCCCCATTTTCCGTATAGCATATAGATGGGTGGTACAATCACCTTTCCAGTCTCCTGAGCTGGAAGAGCAGGAGTTTCCACTTTCTTTACCGCATCCAGCCTATTCTGCTTCCCAATTGTTTACAGAATTTGTTCTTTCCACTCCACTCCTGCTGTTACTGCTTTACTGTTTGCTGAGCCAGACAGGTTTGGTTTTTAAATCCTGGCATTCACACTGACTTTCAATCATAGCAAGAAATTCAGCTCCTCTGAACCAATAGTCCTCACCCTTGGCTGCACATGGAACCATTTGGGGAGCTTAACAAATACTGATGCTTGGTCCAACTCCCAGGAGCCAAGATCACACAATGGAAAGGGGAAGGCCTCTTCAGTGCTTGGTGCTGGGAAACCTCAACAGCCACATGAAAAAATGAGACGAGGCCATTATTTAACACCATACACAAGTATTCACTCGCCATTGATGAGGCCTGCACACTGGCAGTTTTAAAAGCCTCCCCCAAGAGCTTCCAGGTAAAGCCCCAACTGAGGAGCACTGCTCTAAGCACAGCTTTCCAGTGCGCACTGCAAGGCAAGAACCCCATTGGGTCAGTGATGCGGAGTAGTCAGTGAAAAAATGAGTCGTGAGTTACTGTTGGGCAACTCCTTGTCATCCCTCCACAGCACTCTGTGGTAGCCACGAAACACATTTCCCACCTTGGTCTTGCCATGCTCCCCTCTGATCTGAGAGAACTAGCTAGAAAGCAAACAGACAATGACACTTCCTGCTTAAAACTCTTTGGCTGGTCTACTCCACTCGAAGACGTGCACACCTATTACCATACCTTCTGATTGTGCTCTTGCTTACTCTGTTAGCATTGTCTCTCTTTATTCACTGCCTTTCGACAATAGCTACTTAAGAGTTTTTGCACAAAACCTCTGTCTGTCACCCCTGGGCCTTTGCATGATCCTTTGTCTGGAATGTTACTTGCCATTCCTTAGTTTTTCTCCTCAAGTCTCACTCTTTTTTTTCTTTAACTCATTTATTCTTATTAATCTTGTATCCTTCAAGGCTCAACTTAGAAATCTTTGGGGTGCTTGCCTTGATTTCTCTACACAGACCTTACTCTTGCTATATAACATGTTGAATTGTAGTTTGTGTCTTTCTCCCATTACACACCCCTGTTTTTTACTTTTACACACATTTTATTGAGGTAATACTGGTTTATAACATTGCATACATTTGAGTTATACACTAGTATGATTCTACATCATGATCATGACTAAAAGTATGGTTTGTACCCCTCACGATAGAACTGGCATCTGTTACTGTTTTCACCCACGCCTCAACTCCCTTCTCTGGGAACCACCCATCTGTTCTCTGCAGCTAAGAGCTTGTCCCATTATCCTTTTTGAGGAAGGACTTACTCTCTTGATACAAAGCCTGAAATATAAAAATTCTTAACTTTTATTGAAATAAAGCAGGTTTAAAACATGTGAAACTGTATCTGTGAAGCCATGCTTGTATCTACTTTAATTTTTCCCTTTCCATGTTCCTGAAGTACTTGGGAATTGTCTCATCCCCTACTAGTAGAATGAAAGCAACCTAAGGACAAAACCTTGTCTTTATTCTTTAATATTTTCTCAAAGCATCCGGAAAATATCTCCTAATAGTTTTGCTTAAAAACACTCAGTTGTTGCTGAAAGAAACAAGGTTTGGAGAAACTCATTCAAGGATCATGGGTAAAAACCCTAAATGGAAAAATCTATTTTTAAAAAGCTATAAAAATCTACAGAACAGCATGGTATGGGAACAAAAGCAGTCACATAGACCAGTGAAATAGAACTGAAAGTCCAGAAATAACCCACTGCATATCTGGACAGTTAATTTTTGACAAAAGAGCCAAGCCCATACAATGGAGAAAGAAAAGCGTTTTCATCAAATGGTGCTGGGAAGTCAGGGCATCCATTTGAAAAAATAAATGAATTTAGACCATTATTTAACATCATACATAACCATTCACTCAAATTGGACTAAAGACTTGAAGACTAAGACCTGAAATCATAAAATACACAGAAGAATCTACAGGTCATATGCTCCTAGACATCAACTACAGAGTTGATGTCTTTAGAGTTTCAACTCAATGGCAAGAGAAACACAAACAAAAATAAATGGGACTACATCAAACTAAAAAACTTTAGTACAATGACAGAAACCACCACAAACCAAAAAGAAATCCTATTGACTGGAAGAAGATATTTGCTTGCCATACATTTGGCCAGAGCTTTATAATCAAACTATATAAAGAATTCATACAATATGATACCAAACAAACAACTCAATCAAAAAAATGGGCAAAATCATTGAATAGACACTTCTCCAGAAAAGATGTACAGCCACATAAAAAAATTATTTATTTATTTATGCATACAGAGCTGAGGTACAGGCCAGAGGTGCAGGGGCAGTGAGAGGACTCACCAGAGACAGAGTAGGGAACAGAACAAGCCGACTGACGTGCACTGCTGAGGGGAGCATTAGCGGGTCAGGACAGGTGGATCACCTCTGGGGCAGGGATCGAACTCAGGCTTTAGCTTCCTAGTGCTGTGCCTTAACCCACTGCACCACCAGGGAGGGCCTTCAGCTTCACTTATTAAGAAAATGCACATCAAAAGCTCTCAGACCTGTGTGAACGGTCTATATCAAAGTGTCTGGTAACTACATGTGTTGGTAAAGGTACCCCAATAAAGGAACTCTTTATTGGTAGGAATGTCGGTAGGAATCTTAAATTAGAACAATGTCTATGAAAAATGTTTTGGATATTCCTTCCAAAACTACACCTGGAAATACCATATGATCCAGCAATATGTCTCCTAGATATTTATCTGAAGCATATGAAAGCACCAGTTCTAAGATTTATGCACACCAGTCCTCATCACATTATATACAACAGCCAAAATGAGGAATCAATCTAAATTCTCATCAACGGATGACTGGATAAAGAAGTTGTGGTATATGTACTCAATGGATATCTATTACTCAGCTATTAAAAGAGAAGAAACCTTGCTTTTATGGCAACATGGGTGGAACTTGGGATGATGATACTGAGTCAGACACTGAAAGACAGCTATGGGATGGTTTCTCTTGCATGTGGAGTATAAATAATCAAAGCAAACAACCTAACCAGTCACAACAAAAACAATTGTTAGAATTCACTTAAAGTATAGAGGTTACCAGAGGGGTAGTAGTTGGGGATGGTGGGGTGGCTAGAGGACGTTGTGGGAGTTCATAAGAGCTCTGGTGTTGGGTGAGTGGAGCTGTACTTCTGGAATTTATATAGTTTTGTGAATCAATGTAATTTAATAAAATAAATTAAAAAATATATATATATATAAAGATCTAGACTTGCTGTCTAATGCAATAACTATGAATATATTTGCACACTGAGCACTTCCAATATAATTACTGCAACTGAGGAACTGAAGGTTAAGTTTTATTTAATATTAATTAAAGCTTACAAACGATACTTAATTGTTGGAACACAATTATGAATATGTTTTCTACGTATATTTGCATCTACTTCTTTTACTGTAAACTTCATGAAATCTAACTCCAGATCAACATTTTCCAGTGAAACGGTAGCACCTGAATGGAGATGTGTTATGAATATTAAAATAAACACTAATAAAAAGGAAACAAAATATATCATTAAATGTTTTATATTGCTTATATATTATAATGACTATATATTATGAAAATTAATTTTATCTTATCTTACCACTAGGAAGTTAAAAAAAAAACATGAAATCAAGTTGTGTTTCTGTTGGGCAGAACTGACACACTCCAATATCAAAGGGTTTACCTTATTTTTTTTAAAAGATGTATTTATTTATGTATACAAGAACTGGGGTACAGGCTAGAAGTGTGGGGAGTTAGAGGATTCACCAGAGACAAAATGGGGAGCAGAACAGGCAGATCTACTGAAACACACTCCTGACGAGACAGGAGAGGTCTGTTGTGCTCCCTGGCCAGGAATTGAACTCGTGCAGCAGTGGCTGCGGAGCTTCACAGTGCTGCAATTTAACCCACTGTGCCACCAGGGAGGGTCCCAATACTTTACTTTTTAATAATCATTCTGGTGATGGAATTCCATCCCTCCCCATGTCTAAAATAATTAGTGACCAATGATGTGTGATTTACAGATAATTAATGAAGTTACCTCTCTAAACACTTTTCTGTCAATGCAGATCACAATCCACCTACTCAGCCCAAGGAGAATAATAATGGCCAGAACCATCACCAGGAGGAAATAATCCACAAGTTAGCCACGCAGCTGAGAAGCGTTGGAGATAGCATCGATCATAGGATGGTACAAGAGGTGAGATTTCAGTTTCCCTGGCAAAAGCCTGTCAGGTAGAGGAAAGAGCAAAAAGAACAAGGACTGCTGGGTAGCCAGGATATCTAGAAGTTACCATGTTTAATAATGTTTAGATTAACAAACTTTAGGTCTAAAAATTGTGAACCTCAGTCAAAGCTAGTATTTGCTCTCACTCTTGTTACTCTAACTGTGGCCCATAGACTAATATGGCATCGCTTGACAGCTGGTCAAATGTGCAAAAGCTCAGGTCTGGGTTTACGAGGCTGGAATCAGAATCTATCTTTTTTTTCATGTTTTATTATTTTTTAAAATAATATAATAGTTTATGTTTACATCATTTTGTGCCTTTTTCCATCTCAATTGTAATCCCTGTGGGTTTCCCATCACCAAGTCACTCGTGTGCCATCACCATAGTCCCGTGCACTTCCCTCCCCCCACTGTTTTTGATCCCATTCTCCACTCCACCCCCACAAAATGTCTCTGGTATATGGCTGTTCATTATTCTTATTTTCTCTCCTGGTCCTTTATACTCCTGCTATGAGTGAGACCATCCGGTATTTTTCCTTTTCTTTCTGGCTTATTTCACTAAGCATGATCCCTACCAGCTCCATCCATGTTGCTGCAAAAGGCATGTGTTTATTATTTTGGTTGCTGAGTAATAGTCCACTATGCAGAATCTACCTTTTTACACACACCTCAGTACATTGGTGTGCACATTAAAATGTAAGAAACTTTCGGCCCTCCCTGGTGGCTCAGCGGGTTAAAGCACTGTACTATGAAGATTAAGCCAGTTCCTCATGAGTTCGATCCCTGCCTGCCCCGGAGGAGATCCACATGGCATGGCAGACCTCTCCTTTTTAAAGATTTATTTATTTATACAGAACTAGGGTACAGGCCAGAGATGCGGAGGGTGAGAGGATTCACCAGAGACAGAGGAGGGAGCAGAACAGGCAGATTGACAAAGTACACTGCTGAGGGGAGCAACGGGTGGGCAGGAGAGGTCTGCCCTGCCATGTGGATGGATCTCCTCCGGGGCAGGCGGGGATCGAACTCATGCGGAAGTGGCTTAAGCTTCTCAGTGCTGTGCTTTAACCCGCTGCGCCACCACGGAGGGCCCTAAATAAATAAATCTTAAAAAAAAAATGTAAGAAACTTTCTTCCACATCTTCAAACTGGGAAGCTTGTTAGAATCAGCCGTGGAGTTTTGAGAATACAGATGTCCAGGGTCCCATCTAGAAAAATTCTGATTTAATTGACATAAGGTGAGGCCTGGACATCAGGCACTTTAACAGCTCCCCAGGTAAATCAGAGAAGAGAACTTCTATCTCAGATTGTGGTTATCCTCCTTAAGCCAACCCAAAGGTCGTGGTCTAACCCTACTATTTGCCAAGCTTCAGAGCAGACAGCACAGATGATGAGACAAATCACATGGAACTCCTAGAAGAAGGGAGACAGCCAGGAAAACAGAGGACCGGTAGACAGTCTAGTCAAAAATGAAGGCTTCCAGCAGCATGAGGGGACCCAGCGCTGGAGAATGCCTCTGGGTGGGTGAACAGGGAAGACCTCTCTGGGGAGGTGATATTTGAGAAAATGGAAGTGAGGGAGCTAGTCATAGGGATACCTGGACTGAGGGAATAGCATGTGTAGGCCCTTGTGGCAGGACCAGGCTTAAGGTAGAGCTGGGAGGTCAGGACAGCCGGAGTGCAGTGAGGTCTGGGAGTTGGTCTCCGTCTTGGGTGGAAGGTAGGTGTCTGGGTTTCACCTGAAGCATAGGGAAGCTTTGGAGAGGGAGGGCTGGAGAATGCTACGAGATTATGTGCATCTAAAGTGGAGATGCCTGCTAGCTGTGGGGGCACAAGGGAAAAGCAGTCCAGAGGGGACCCTAGAAGCCAGAGGCAATGGAGGTGGTGAGGAGCGATCACATTCAGTTTTGAAGGTAGAGATTGCAGAGTTGACTGATGGACTGAATATGGGGAGTGAGAGGAAAAGAATGGAAAATTTGACTGATTTTGTCGTGAGTCTCCAAATGGATGGTAGTGCCATTTGCTGAGATGGGGAGAACTGGGCAGCCCAGGTTTGGGGGAAATGTAGATTTCCATGGGAGGCATTTAACTTTGATGTTCCTATTAGACATAGAGATTGTGAAGCCATGTAGTTTTATAAACCAGGCTGGAGTTCAGGGGAGACATGGAGGCTTAAGATAAGGATTTGGATTATAAAGTGTCACTTTCTCTGCAGGCTCACAGGATTAATCCCATCCTAGCTCCCCATCTAATCCACCTGACAGATCAACTACAGTTATGGAGCAGTAACTAGTACTCATCGAGGGTTGGCTACTGGTTGGGAACAACCTAAGTATTTGACTTATGTTTGTTAATTCTTACAACCACCAGGGAAGCTGGGACTATTGCTGGTGTCACTTTCCAAAGGAGAAAGTTGATGTTTAGAGAAGTTAAGTAACTCAGTATCCTAGGTTGCCCACACCGCTCCCTAATACTGCTCAGTACTGGCGGTCTCCAGGTGCAACCTCCTGCTTCCTGCTTTCTCTAATATCTGGACCCAAGAGCATGAAGCCCAGATAGAGGTGGGGGTGTTTGTTTTTTGCATCTATAAGTTGTCTTGATCGGGTCCTGTGCAGAGAAGACCTTACTTGTGCAGAGAAGACCTTACTTGAAAGCCTGACCCTCTGGTCAGAATGGAAACCATCTCAATATGACATCAGGAGCTTAACATCCAGGAAGACATACTTACATATGGGTTCTGCACTCATGGTGTAAGAGGTTAGAAATGTGCCAGGTACCAAGCCACTTATTTACTATGTGACCTCACATAAATTACTTAATCTCCCTGTGTCTAATCTGGAGGAATTTATCCTGTTTACTTATTATTAACATAGAGATAATAACAGTGCCTGCCTTAGAAGGTGGTTGTGTAAATTAAACAAGGTCATCTATGTAGATCACTTAAAACAGGGCTGGACCCACAGAAAATGATGAATACTTGTTTTCTAAATGGAAAAAAAAAGTTTTTTTTGCCTCTACCCTTTGTATATTTGCTGTGCATCATTTTCCATAGCATCCTCATGATATTTACCATCTACCTTCTACACTACGCCTTTTTTGCAGAAGTCTTCACCGAGTGAGTCTACTTTTAAATTCTAGGAAAATCCTAAATTTGTTTTTCCTGCTTCTTGATCATTGCTTTCCCCCCACCTTCCCTCACCCCAACCCTCTCCCCTGGAGAGGAGATCCTGAATTAGGAAAAATCACAAGTACTTATTTTTTACTTTTGATTTAATCTGTCAAGAGGTTACTGTTTTTTATAACTGCCTTTTCCATTTTTACCTCTTTCCCCCCTCTTTCCATAACCTTTTTAAAAATTTAATATAATAGTTTATTTTTACATCATTTTGTGCCTTTTCCCGTCTCAGTTGTAATCCCCGTGGGCTTCCCATCACCAAATCACCTGTGTGTCATCACCATAGTCCAGTGCACTTCCCTCCCCCACCCCATTTTTGATCCCATGCCCATCTTTCCATAACCTTTTAAGTTGTAATTCTTTTTAAACCTTAAACTTAACCTCTGCTGCTTAATAAGTAGACTCTGAATTGTCTCCGTTTTTCTTTCATTTAAAAAATAACTACTGAGAAATAAAATTCACAGCACATTGTAGTCGTGTACAGTGTACCCATTTCAAGTGTTTAACATATTAATAGAGTTGTATAAATATCATTGACCTTTTAGGACACTTTATCACCCCAGAAAGATACCCCGAAGGCAATTGTAGTCATTTCTTATTTCCTCCCACTTTTCCTTCCAGCCTCACCAACCTACTTTCTGCCTCTAGACCTGCCTATTCTGAACATTTCCTAGAAGTGGAATGGCACATTTTGTGTCTAGCTCCTTTCACTTAGCTTAATGCTTTTTCAAGATTTACCCACATTGCATATCAATATTCCCTTTCTTTTTTAATTGCTGGCATATGCGTGTGTGTGTGTGTGTGTGTGTGTGTGTGTATCAACCATAATCACATCCTCAATTGATGGACATTTGGGCTGTTTTCACTTTTTGTCTTTTATGAATAATGATGCCATGAACATTTGTATACAAGTTTTGTGTAGACATGTTTTCCATTCTTTTGGGCATATACCCAGAAGGGGAAGTGCTGGGTCACATTCCAATTCTTTTTACCATCTTGAGGGACTTCAAGCTGTTTTCCACAGCAGCATTTACATGTTGCTCACCTGCAGTGACCAGGTACTGGTTTTTCCTCATGCTTGGCAATACTTGCTGACGGGTCTTTTTGATTATAGCCACGGTAGTGGGTGTGAAAGTGTTTCACTGTGGTTTTAATTTACATTTCCCTGGTGGCTGATGTTGGGCATCTTTGTTGGGCTCAGCTGTCATTTGTATATCCCTTTGGAGAAATGTCTATCCAGATCTTTCAACCATTTAAAAAAACTGGGTTATTGTCTTTTTATTATTGAGTCAGAGTTCTTTATATATTCTAGATGTGAGTTCCTTGTCATATGCAATATTTGCAAAGCTTTTCTTCCATTCTATATGTTTTTTCACTTTCTTGATGATTATTGAGGCACAAAAGTTTTTACTTTTGTTAGTTTACTTATTTTTTCTATTGTTGTTTATGTTTTTGGTGTCATATCTGTTCCAAAATCATGAAAATTTACACCTATATTTATTAAAAGTTATATGTAAAGTTATATATATATATATAATATGTAGTTTTAGCTTTTAAATTTAGGTCTTTGGACCATTTGGAATTTTTAAATATATTTTTATATATGGTATGAGTTTAAAAATCCATCTTTATTCTTTTGTTTATGGTGTCAATTGTTTCACCACCATTTGTTGGAAAGACTTTTCTTTCATCATTGAATTATTTGGCATCTTTGTTGATGAAAATCAATTGAATATAAATGAGGGGACTTATTTCTGGACTGTCAGGTCAATTGCTACCCTTATGCCATATTTTACAAAACTGGCTTTGACCTAGACTTTGAAAGATAACCTTGTCCTATACCTCAAAATTGCATCATAGAACACAGCACATTTAACAATAATTAAAAATTATTATTAAAAATAATTAAAAATTATAGCTGAGGTTCAGAGGGATTAGGTAACCTATCTAAGGTCACACAGCAAATAATTGCAGAACTGGAATTTTTCTCCTGAGTTCAGCCAGGGCCCAGTGCTGAGCAGAGGAGGGACTTTTTAATAGTCTCCTGAGGCAGCTGTATTGGAAACAGCTTGCAGGAGGAGGGATGGGGGCTGGGAGAGCCACTTGTATTTGACTTCTGCCCCACCCTGGTGCTCCCATGCTGGCAGTGGTGTTTACTTACTGCCCACGAATTCGCTGTCATGCTCATCTCCAGTCTCTTCTTCATCCACCCAGGCAGCCCTATTCTCAACACTAAAGTCAATTTCCTTGCTTCTTTGAAAAGACCAATAAAGTGCCCTAGGAAGCCAGGGGAGGAGAGTAGCATTGGGGAGTGCCTTTGAAGAATATACTGGTTTGCTGGGTGAGATGGGAAAAGGCCTGGTGGAGAAGTTCACGAGGCAGTCACTGTGTAGGAGATAGATGATGGAACAGACCGAGAGGGCCTCCTTGGCTCGCACAGTTCATAAAGCAGCCCTAGATGCTGTTTCTGGCACTGGATGAATTATATATATATACACACACACATATTTTAAATATTTATTTATTTGTACATACAGAACTGGGGGACAGGCCAGAGGTGCAAGGGTGGTGAGAGGATTCACCAGAGACAGAGTGGGGAATAGAACAGGCCGACTGACGAAGTACACTGCTGAGGGGAGCAGCTGGTGGGTCAGGAGAGGTCTGCCCGCCATGTGGTCACCTCCAGGGCAGGCGGGGATCAAACTCATGCGGAAGTGGCTTTAGCTTCTAAGTGCTGCGCTTTAACCCACTGCACCACCAGGGAGGGCCTGTTTGTTTGTTTTTTTAAGCAAATCACATAATCCAAAGTCAGAAATTCACTATTGTTATAATTCATCTGGCCCTCCCTGATGGGCAGCAGGTTAAAGCGCAGCACTGAGAATCTAAAGCCGCTTCCGCATGAGTTCGATTCCCGCCTGCCCTGGAGGTGACCACATGGCGCTGCAGACCTCTCCTGACCCACCCGCTGCTCCCCTCAGCAGTGTACTTCGTCGATCTGCCTGTTCTGCTCCCCACTCTGTCTCTGGTGAAGCCTCTCACCGCCCCTGAGCCTCTGGCCTGTACCCCAGTTCTGTATGCACAAATAAATAAATCTTTAAAAAACAAACAAACAAACAAACAAACAAACCGCTCTTTCTCTCTCCTCTTAAACAGGATCTTCAACAGGAAGTCAGAGATGCACTGGCTCATTTTGCCTTACTTTTCTTTGGAGGAATGGATGCCTTGCTGCGCTTTCTCTGGAATAACCATTTGATGTAAATGGAAGGCAAACATGGAATTGTTTTCCCTCTACCCTCTGAGAAACATGAATCCCACTGGAACAGGTGGGAAGAGGACCCTTTCCGAGCTCCTCTTCTTCCCCATCACTGATGGCTTGTGGCTGGTGTGTTAGGGAACTCTGACCTCATTGGCAATGGGGTGTCTGTGACTGCCTTACAGTGGAGCCCAAGGAGACTTGGGAACCCAGGAGGCCAGGCAGAGAAGACCAGCGCTACGGATGGCCCAGTGCTCCTTGTAAGGAAGCCTTGAGCATTTTCTTCATGAGTGAAAAGGAGTTCAAGAAATGGGCGCTTTTCCCTGGACCTCTCCTGGGCATCAGACCCTGCCAATAGGTGGCCCTGCTCTTGTTCTGGGCTCTGATCTGCTGAGCCCTGTTCTTCTCCTTTTACCTCTCTACCTCGTTTGCCCTCTCCCCACTTTTACAAGTGTTAGAAATGTTGAGAAAGTTTGTTGTTATAAATTATAAGTTTCACATATGCATTTTGAGTTCTTTGTAGGAAAAGTGTCACTTAAAAAAACTAACGATTTACAAAATGAAATAAATATTGTTGTTTTATTGAGCATGAAATACCTGTGCATACTTCTTTTTTGAAGGAGAGATTCTACTTATTCCTGCTCTTATTTGTTCACAGTTAGGCAGACTTTGATCGTATGCTGCTACACGTTCCCATTTTTTTAGTCTATCTCAGACATATCTGTTTATTTCCATCCTCACATAAGTTTTGACTTGCTTGCATGGAAAAGTTGGTTTATTTTTTATTCTTCTTTTGCATGGGTTATTTTTTATATGGTTCAAAAATTAAAAACAATATGTAAAATGGTTTACAGTGTAAACCCGTGCTCTTAGTCTCTATCCTGAATCTCTTACATATCCTTCCAGAGTTTCTTTGCACAAATTAACAACTTACATCCCCCACCCTTCAGCTCCCACACCCCCCACCTTCACACACACAAAAGCAGTGTACCTTTTTGCTTAGATAATTATCAGGCATTGTTCTAGGTGTCTTACAGATGTTCACTCATTTACTCTTCATGTCGACTGCATGAGACAGGTATTATTATTATTAGCTCTATTTTACTATTAAGTGCTGCTAACCCACTGAGGGGCACGCTGACTTTCACCTGAACCTAGGAGAACGTAGGCGACTCAGAGCCTTGAGAGAATGAAGCAGGAGCCTAGGGTCTGCAGTCTGGAATCTGTTTATTAGGACTGCCCATGGGTATATATAGGGTCTGTATGTGCAGGGAAAAACAGGAAATGTGCCCGATGCAGGGGGTGGGGTGCATGTTTGCTCCGGACCTGGAGCTTCTTGCAGTTTCTGCTAAAGACAAGGTAGTGGGCTGCAGCTGTTTGCAGGACAGAGTGCACTGTGCTAGGCTGGCTTATTTGTGGGCCTTACTGGGGAGTGTGCTCACCCATGCACAACATTAGATAGGGCGAACAGGTGCACTTGAGGTCCTGTCCAGTGAGCCACAATTAAGGAAACAGGGTAGTTAATAGAAGATGCCTCAGGACACACAGACAGGGCCACAGAGCCAGGGTCCCAAGCCAGACAGGCTGGTCTCAGGCTACAAGATATAGTTGCTATGCTGTCTGCCTTCCAGCAGTCTGCAGGACCCACAGTGAGGCCACCAGACACTGTATCCCTCTGCTAAATGGACACCATTATCTATTTCATCAGCTCCTTTTAAAAGGATGCCTGAGTTGTTTCAAATCATTTGATATTATAAGTCATGCTGAAGTAAATAACCATGGACCATTGATATGTGCAGGAATATTTGCTGATAGGTTTCTGGCTTTGGGGGTGCTGGTAAATGAAATATAGGTGCTTTAGTCATTTGCCAGATGCTGGCCTCCTGCAGCCAGTGCTTGCTCCCCTGCACCCTCCAGTGGCTGCCTGTTCCTTTCAGGCTCACCAGCAGACTGTATCTTTAAACTTTTAAATGTTGACCAAATGAATGGGTGAAGAAAGAAATGGCATCTCAGAAAAACTTTTTATTCAAAACAATTTTTAATTTAATGTGTATTACACCGATTGACTTAAAATCGCACATCTTTTGCAATGAGTGAATCTGTGCATTTTTGGCTATTCATCTCCTTTGCTTTTTTTCTAGTGGCTCTCTGGGCTTATTACTGATTTCTAGGAACCTCTGCTACCTAGTGCTAAGCACAGTTTACAACAGCATCTGCATCCCAGATGTTGGGCAGAAGTTGTTTCTGCTGCTTACAAATCAGTCTCCCTGGGCTCTGCCTCAAGGTAGAGGTACTCACAGGAGGGCAAGTGGGCGCTCAGAGCAGCCAGAGGCCTGGGAAGAGGACCCCTGGGGTTCTCCAGTCCCAGTCAGGAAGGACACCCTGCCACTCTGACGGGGCCTCTAGGGTCAGGGGCCCCGGGGCCTCCATCAGGTCAAAGGGTAGGTCAAACGTCGTAGGTTGGGGCCAGGAAGGTCACTCACCCCCTAAGGGAAGGGCCTGGTGCAGAAGTCAGCCTGGGCAGCCCCTCCCCTCCACCCGTGGAGACTCACTGGGCGATGTGAAGGTGGAGAGCCAGGCACCAGGCTCCCCAGATGGCGCAGAATCCTACCTTCATCCCTTTGGGACCCAGGGCCGGGCTGCCTGAGAGACAACCGGGCTGGAGGATGCCAGCGGGACTAAAGGCTTCCTGGGCGGCTAGCGGGCGGGGCCCGGGGTCTCGGCTCCCTGGGACCTCCCGAGAGCCCGGCGCGGCGGGAGTGGAAGCCGGATCCCGCTCTTTCGTTTTCGTTTCCGGGAAGGATAGCGATTACCGAGCGCGCCCCGCGCGCCTGCTCGCCAGGGGACCGAGCGCACGCTATCAGAGCTTCTCGAGAGCGATTTCCTCCCGCGGGACCTTCCACTTTACCCGGCCATTAAGGGTTTGGGGAAGAAGGGCTAGCTCCAGCGCTGGCCAAAGGCCCGGCAGCCTCAGCCCGAGAAGCACTCCCGGCAGCAAGCCAGGTGACTCCTTCACCTCCACCTGTAATGCAGGTAAGAACCTGCCCACTGCATCGCGCTGGGAGCATGCGGAGCCATCTGCTCCCTCATCCCTTCTCCACCAGCTCAATTTTCATACCCATTTCATCATACCTTTTTCCTCTCTGGAGTCTCACCTTCTAACGCATCCCCAAACCTCATCATCCATCCATCGCTGCCCTTCCACACCAGCCCTTTACTTCTGCTCTCCACTCTCCAAGCCCTCCCAGATATACTGCTTCCTCGTGCCTCCTCAACACCCCTCATCAGCCTGACCTGAAGGCCCTGGAGAGCTTGTATGTGCCAGGCCCTGGCACCTGGTGAACTGGACCACCTTGCAAGCCACCCCTGCCCCCAAGCTGTGGCTTTCCATTGAACAAATTTCCCTAGGAGAGGCAGTCACACTCTCCCTTCCCACCTGCAGGGCCTTTTTCCATCCCCCTCTATCCAAGATCCATATCCGTGTTTTCAGACCCCTCCATACCCTTCTTGCTGAGCCCAGACCCTGCTCAGCAGCCCCTGAGCAGAGCTTCCCCAGGCAGTCTCAGTCTCACCCCTGGAATTCCCCATTCCTCATGCTTGGAAGATGGTGGTGGAGTCAAGGAGCTTCCTACAGGTCCTAACAAGTTGTGAGCCATGAGTCCCTTTCTCTGGCTGGACAAGTCCTGGCTGCCAGATAGCACCTTTTGAGGTTGGGGTACTTGGGAAGTAACAGCACCTGAGGACCGGGGAGCTGGGGGCTGGCTAGAAATGAAGTGGGAACTACCCCAGGAGGCTTTAGGGCAGCAAAGCCTTCTGGAACTTGCTTAGTCGGCACCAGAGCCACAGTCTTTCACTGCAGATTGCCTCTTCAGACACCAAGAGATGAATGTAGCTCTCTTGAAGATCCTAGAATGAGAAAATGACTTCCTGGGATTGGTTTCACTTTTACTTTTTACAATGTGGCAGCCTGTGACTGGTCATGAGCTCCAGGATCCTCTTGTTCTGCAAAGACCTTCTCACACTTTTTTCATCTGCCCTTCCTGGTGGATGAGTCAAATCCTTGTAAAAAGGCAAATGACTGTAAAATTGTAAAGAGATCAGCTTCTCTTGGTGGGAACTTAAGGTTCAGGATTTTTATTTTCTTGTTCTCTTTTGAAAAAAGCATTTATTTGTTCATTTCTTGATTTCTAATTTAAGTCCTTTTTGTCCTGACTCCTCAAGAGCCCCTTATCCTCTCCCCCAGGTTCCCCAGAGTCTGCCAGGCCCTCACCTTACACATTAAGTCTTGCAGCGGACCCTTTTGGTGGGGTTAGGCACATTCTTGAAAAGCTTGAATCAGAGAGATGAAGTTTTTATTTATATATTTTTAAAAAAGATTTATTTAATTATCTATACAGAACTGGGGTATAGGCCAGAGGGGTGGGGATGGTGAGAGGATTCACCCGAGACAGGGTGGGGAGCAGAGCAGGCAGATCGAAGAAGTACACTGCTGAGGGGAGCAGCGGGCTGGTCAGGAGAGGTCTGCCACGCCATGTGGTCACCTCCGGGG